CAGCTTTTGTCACGAGTTAATACCATCTTCCTGCTGAACGTTAGCACTAGATTAAGATTTTCATCTTCACTCCAGATGTGGTTACAGAGGTGCAAAGCTGCCCAGTGTTTATAAGCTAAGACAGGAGCTGCAGGTTAAGTCAGGCTCCCAGCCAAGGGGTAATTACACTTGTGTGACGTCTCTCCCACCAGCTAAGCCTCCACCGGCCATAAAAGTATTTACTTGCATCTGGACTCTGAAATCATGTCCTGTTTTATTACCCTCTTCCCAACTTTGAAATGTGTTATTAAGTATATGGCGCGTAGGGGGATCTTGTACAAAAGCCAGTGGCAAACAGCTGTTCTGGGGCCAAGCGGAGGCAAGGTTGTGACCACTTGTTGCCGAGGCCTTCTCCTGCAGACGCACTGCGCCGTCAGCGTCCTGCAGGGTTCATTAGTTCTACCGTAGTTGAATGTGTAGGAACCACCTGCATCAGTGCTATTTTGGCTAAATTTCGAGCAGAGCTGCTCCAGTTTGAACATGCGGATGAACCACATGGGGATCTTATAAATGCAGGTTCTGATTCAGTCAGTCTGGGGGTCCTGAGAACCTGCATTTATAACAAGCTCTCGGGTGAGGTTCAGAAAGGAGCTCGGGAGCCGCGTCCACCCGTCTTACGTGACACAGTCCTCTGCGCTGCTCCTTAGAACGGAGATTACATCTACGTGTCTGCAGAGTGTACCCAGTCTACAGATGGATTGTGTGTTTACTCCCAAACAGTATTTGTAAATTTTTAAAAATTAGTTAGCCAACATTGAAATATTAGATTTTTAGCTCCTCTGGAAAAATCTGATGATCTGGCAACAGTGGGCCCACGTGACAACAGCTGGAGCTCAGCCTTGTTGCTTTGCTGCTGGCCCCAGTGGCCCGCTGCACTTCTTTATGCTGCCTGCCTGGTGCCTGTCGGCCCAAGGGTGCAAACCATGTCTCAGAATTAGGGAAACCAACCCAAAGGAACCTAATGGAGCCTCCAAATAGAAGAGCTTGCATATCTGGGAATAACACCACGTGGAGATCCTACTTCTGCACTTGCTATGGGTAGAGGAGACTCATATTCCTCCAGCAGAAAACATTTTCAGCTTGCCTATGGGCCTCAAACTCAGTGTACTCTCAGGGAGTGCCTTTCTGGTCACAGGTGATTTGTAGGAGAGCACACGGAGAAGCTTCAGGGTACCAGG